GAGCCTCAAACACCGTATAATATATTCCAGCATGTTGGGCTGTTTTTGTACATGGCGCGCAGATGCCGGACGACGCGCAGGCAGGAAGTAAGTTTTTTTGCTGCGGAGCGAAAGATTTTGGTACAACTTGGCCGCGGCATGGACGGGGGCAAGCAGCAAAGCAGGCTGGAGGCAGAAAGGAAAGGCGCATGCTACACATGTGAAGCAGTGAGGCACAGATTTTGACATTGCTGAGCGGCTTATGGCACTTGCGCAGTGAGTTCCATTGGTCTCAGCCAAACACCTCATGAACCCGCTTTTACCATGAACACGTAGCTGAAATGTTCAGTGTTGGACTGGCGTTGCTATCGAAAAATCATGTGTAAAGTTTCTCTGGACACTTGAGGTCAGGCAGAGCGTCAATGTGAAGTTCCTGATCGAGAGAACCGGGTTCGAGGCGGCGATGGCACTGGACCGCCAGCGATGTGGTGGAGGCTTCGTGGGACTGCGGGTGTAGTCTTGGCGCAGCCCTCTTGTGGGCTTGGTGTAGCTTGGGTGTAGTCTCGTTGTAGTATGCGTGCAGCTCGGTCGTGTCTTTAGCCTCGCTGTAGTCATGGTGTAGTCTTTGTTGTTGTTGTCGTTGTTGTTGTTGCTGTTGTTGCTGTTGTTGTCGTTGTTGTCGTTGTTGTCGTTGTTGTCGTCGTCGTTGTCGTTGTCGTCGTCGTCGTCGTCGTTGTTGTTGTCGTTGTCGTTGTCGTTGTCGTTGTTGTCGTTGTCGTGGTCGTGGTCGTGGTTGTCGTCGTCGTCGTCGCGGTTGTTGTTGTTGTTGGTGGTGGCGGCGGTGGTGGTGGTGGTTGGTTGGTTGGGTTGGTTGGTTGGTTGGTTGGTTGGTTGGTTGGTTGGTTGGTTGGTTGGTTGGTTGGTTGGTTGGTTGGTTGGTTGGTTGGTTGGTTGGTTGGTTGGTTGGTTGGTTGGTTGGTTGGTTGGTTGGTTATTGTTGTTCTTGTTGTTGATTGTTGTTGTTGTTGGCCAGGTTCCCGAGACGCGGCCTCTGCAAAACGCAGTGTGTTGTTTTTTTGCGTCGCTCCAGTGTATAAACTTTTTTACTTGTAGAAATATTTTAGAGAAGGTTGGGTTGATTTTGTATGGCTTGGTAATTTGTACAGACCAAGCACCGCGACTTGTACTACGATTGTTGAACTGAATAATTCCATTTAGTGAACAATCTTAATATATATATATATCAAAACAATGTCACTACCAATATAATGATAACTACTGTAACAGGTGACTATTTAAATGCTTATACATTAAGTAAATACAATAATTTGAAATTTATTAAATTTGATAATGATGAAAATATATCTGGTTATTTCATTAATAATAACACCTTCTATTATAATAATTGCATAATAGATCATAAAGGTTTTTCGAAAGAACTTCTCCTAACCCTGGCTTCTATAACTATGAACTCGGTTCGGTGAAGACGCACGCCTGGGAAAAAAAAGGCCGACTTTGTGCATATAGCCGCTTTTCGCCGAACTTTTTGCGACAAGGGTTGTGGGTCCGAGACGCTGGTTTTGGCAAGATGATGCCTCAAAAACCGCGCGCCTGCCAGAGGCCGCGCCTTTGGAAGTGCACCTTGTTGTTGTTGTTGTTGCTGCTGCTGCTGCTGCTCCTCCTGTTGTTGTTGTTGTTGGTTGTTGTTGTTGTTGTTGTTGTTGTTGTTGGTTTTGGTTGTTGCTGTTGCTGTTGCTGTTGCTGTTGCTGTTGCTGTTGCTGTTGCTGTTGCTGTTGCTGTTGCTGTTGCTGTTGCTGTTGCTGTTGCTGTTGCTGTTGCTGTTGCTGTTGCTGTTGCTGCTGCTGCTGCTGTTGTTGTTGTTGTTGCTGCTGTTGTTGTTGTGTTGTTGTTGTTGTTGTTGTTGTTGTTGTTGTTGTTGTTGTTGTTGTTGTTGTGTTGTTGTTGTTGTTGTTGTTGTTGTTGTTGTTGTTGTTGTTGTTGTTGTTGTTGTTGTTGTTGTTGTTGTTGTTGTTGTTGTTGTTGTTGTTGTTGTTGTTGTTGTTGTTGTTGTTGTTGTTGTTGTTGTTGTTGTTGTTGTTGTTGTTGTTGTTGTTGTTGTTGTTGTTGTGTTGTTTTGTTGTTGTTGTTGTTGCTGCTGCTGCCGCTGTTGTTGTTGTTGCTGCTGCTGTTGTTGTTGTTGCTGTTGTTGCGGTTGTTGTGGTTGTTGTGGTTGTTGCGGGTGTTGCGGGTGTTGTGGTTGTTGTGGTTGTTGTTGTTATGGTCATCGTCGTCCTCGTCATGTAGCTCGGCGTCATACCTTGTGATGTTGTGGTTTTGGCGCGCGTCTATTGGAGTCTTGGTGTGACTCTGGTTCTGGGGTAGTTTGTGTGCAGTCTTGGCATCTTCTCAGTGAAGCGCGCAGCATCGTGACGTCATGTTTCGAGCTGTGTGGCAGGCTGCAATGCATTTGTTGGGATGAGGCGGGGCTCCTTTGAATAGCTTGATTGTTTGTTCTTTGATGTTCATGATGTGTGTACTTGCACAACGGGGCTGCCCACGAGCAGCGAGGCGTGAGATGAAGAAAAAGGTGCAAAGCTTACTCCGGCCTGTTCTTCCAAGCTGCAACGTGAAAAGCCATCCTTGCCCGATCGGAGCTGGTTTGATTGCTGAAGACACGTTTGGGTGTGGCCATGTTTTGACTGTCAGACAGGTTCAAGAGCTGAAGTGCTTGCAAGGATTCATGGCGACAGCTGCGCATATTCGGTGATATTCGGATGGCGGGTTTTGTGTGTCGAGGCCGCTGGCAAGTTGCAACCCTCGTGCTTCCCGACGGCGTCAATGGCGTCCGAGGCGCGCGGGTTGATCCTTATGCCTAAACCCAACGCCCCAGGTCTACATTGCTCGCCGTTCAGTTTTCTTTATGGGGGCTGCAGGGTGGCTGACGGGGTTGACGGTTCCGCCAAAAATGGAGCATGGATTACGGGGGAGCTGACAGGCAGAGTTTTCCTTGGTTGCCAGTGGTTGCGGCGTATGCAAGACTTCGTCAAAATAATCTCCAGCTTGAGCCAAGCAGGCGGGAGGCAATCTTCGAACAGCGCTCCTGAAGCGATTTGATTGAGCAAGTGGGTTCACTGCTTGTTTTCGAAGCCCGTCAAGACAAAATTCGAAGCTTATGCGAAACGCCGTGAGCCTTGCTAATGCTTTCCTATTGACTTCTGAGGCAAAATGATAACTCTCGCAGTTGCTTCAGTCTCGGCTTCTCTCTTTCATGCGGGATCGCCGCAGAATGTTGCCGTAAATTGGAGTGTGCAGGCAACACGAAATCCCACGCTGCTCGACAAGGCTGGCCTATTTTCCACGTTGTTGCACAAGCAAGGGACCGAGTCTAGCGACATGAAGAAGCCTTTTTGCGTCACAAAAGCGTGTTTCCCCACTGCCTATAATGTCAACACGTACATGAGTGCATGCGTGCATTCCAGCTCACGTATCCGAAGTACTGTTCCATTTGCTGATGTGTGCATCCGTCGATTTATTGCAAACGCGGTTACAAGAATGGGGACACTCAGCCACACACACACACACACTTACACACAATGTGCACATGTGCTTGCAAACCCACACCGCCCATGAACTCACGCGTGTACGCATGCGTTTGTCCAACCGCCACGCTTGCCTAAGTTCGCCTGCTCACCTGCTTGCTCCCTTGCTGGCACATACGTACACTCTGCGCAAAGAGTTCAAAAAAAAATGGCCCTCCGATGACAACCAAACCACTCAGGGCGTACTTGGCAATCTTGTATGCTTCCAGGTGCCATGATAAAGTGGGAACAAGCAAGCCTTAACTATGCAAAGCATCGTGCAGAAAGAATGGAAAGGATGCAAGGGCGCCAGCCCTGTAACTGAAGGGGGGCGAGTCTGGGCACGCGGCAGTCCCAGGAACCTCGGCTCGCTGACTTGGAAACTTCGACACCAAGTGCTTCTTGAGGAGCGAGAGGGCAACGCTGAGCAGAAGCCTTCAACCCTGCAGCGGCCCTTTGGAAGGCCCCACACCAACACCCAACTCCCCACATCTCACGTCGTGCCGCAGTCGCCGAGGCGCCGGCTGGTTCTCCTGCGCGACTTGGCCTTGGCATGCACCGTTGGCAGCTCGGTGCCGTGGTTCGAAGTCCCATGCCCCTCTGCCTGCTTGGGCGCCATGACTGTCCTGACGGTTGCCAGCTTTGACTCCCCTTGTGGGCAACAAGCCTGCTAACATACACGTGCGGCAGCAACATCATGGAACTTGGAAGACACATCTCTGTTGAACGTATGTTTGGAAAACATGGCTTGGCATGGTAGCATAAGCAAGCAGAGGCAGGCAGGCAGGCAAGCAAACAAGCAAGCAAGCAAGCAAGCAAGCAATCAAGCAAGGAATCAATCAATCAAACAACCAAGCAAGCAACCAAGCAAGCAAGCAAGCAAGCAATCAAGCAAGGAATCAATCAATCAAACAACCAAGCAAGCAACCAAGCAAGCAAGCAAGCAAGCAAGCAAAGAAAGCACAAGCATCGCCTGGTGAGAAGGGAAAGCTGCCGCCATGCCAACAAGACTCTGCGCGAATGCGTGATCGGGCGCGTCGCTTCAGCGCTAGAGCCTAAAGAGCACAACCGCCACGGAAACTCTGCTTGAGCGGTACTGATCCGGAGTGCACTTTCGTGAGAGAAAATGCCTGCTAAATGCTTCAATAAAAACGAAAGCGCGACCAGGGGAGGGAGCAAACCCCTCGACTGCAAGACCTTGCATTACGCACAGAAAACGCAAGGGCAATGGAAACATCTCGAAGCACCAACAAACCGCCTGATGGTAGTCTCTTAGATTCCGAAGGCCCACCAAGGCCCACCAAACGACACACACACACACACAATTCGTCTGGAAACGACACTTTGGGGAAGTGACTAGCTGTATCCTATCATTCTGCATTCTTGAATCAGGACACGGATGAACATCCCTACCTCTTCAAATCACCTCACGCGCATGGCTTGTCGCGCAACATCCATGCCATTCAGCTGAAGTTTCATAAAGCGGTCAAATCCTGGCCTGACAGCAAAGAAAAACTGCATTGAGCTGCCTGAAAACGCCCTTGTAGCGTTGCATTCAAGTGAATTCAAGTGAGAAAAGTTCAACAAAATCTCTCATGCCAGCGAATTCTCTTGCGGTCCCTCCGAATCACTCTGGAAGTTCAACTCGGCAAGGGGACTCTTGGGAGAGCCGACAGATTTGTCAGCGACACTTTGGTCATCTCTTTCTCCGGACCCGACATGGCGCTGATCCCTGCGGAAAAGTAGAGCCAGCAGGGGCAGCAAGGCGACCATGGCCGCGCCGGAGCCCAGGAAGGCGGCCTGGTAGCTGCCGGTGAGGTCGAAGACCAGCCCCGCCAGAGGCGGCCCAGCCACGAGGCCGAGGCCCATGGGGAGGCCCAGCAAGCAGTACAGCGCCTGCACCCGCTGGGCGCCGAAGAGCTCGGCCACCACCAGCGTCAAGAGTGCCACCCGCACCCCCGAGGACACCCCGTAGATCATGGAGAAGGCGGTCAGCTGCCAGGTCTCGCAGAAGGGCAGCCAGAAAAACACCCCCCCCTGCAGCAGGACCAGCGCCGCGAAAATCCAGGAGGCTGGGATGACGGTGGCCAGAACCCCGCTAGAGATCCGCCCCAATATGCTCCCCAAGCCGGCAACAGATATAAGCCCCGCTGCGTTCTCATAGTCTAATGCATCGCGGGCGTAGAAGACCAAATGGGTAAATGGAATCATGGAAGTGGCGATGTAGAGCAGCACGCAAACGCTGAAAAGCATAAACTTCAGTTCCAGAAAAGGCCGCAACAGAGCCTTCACATCCTTGGCTGCAAAAGGGGCTGGAGCAACTGGCATGTGTGTCACATGCTTTCAAGAACTAGACATAGACACACACTCACACACACACAGACCAGGACGAGGCGCACAGCCCATTGGCTGCTTCGGGTTTGTCTGACTGGTTCCTTCCGACTTCAAGAGGCACCGGAGCACGAGACAGCACGGGATGAGGAGCACAGCATAGGCCCCCGCCAGAATCTGCTGCGTGGAGCGCCAGCCGAGCTTCAACAAGACCTCCATAGCGCTGTTCACGGCGATGGTGCCAGCACCTCCTCCTAATCGAAAGCGGCTCCCACCTTAAGCCTTGCCCACGGCTTCCGCTTATGGGGGTGCAAAGAACAAGAGGTTCGTTTCGGCCAATGTCCTGCTGATGCCAGGCCAACAGCCACGGGAAGCTGCCAGCCCTCCAATCGGCCATAGAGCAAGGTGGCCGCGGGGCAGAAGATCATCGCCAAACCAAGTCCGGAAATGAGGCTGTAGGAAAGGAACAGCCACCAGGGGCTCGGAGCAACGCCTCAAGCGCGACAGCAAAAGTCAACCAGGACGCACCGACACACCGACACACCGACACACCGACACACCGACGCACCGACGCACCGACACACAAATCTAAGATAGGTGTGTCTTTCTTTTTGAAAGACTCTGGCTCTTCAACCAAAATTGGGAAAACGTCCGTACGGCCGAGATCGGCCCGTCTTGACGACAAACATCCGAGAAATATGGGAAGAGCACTCCATGAAGCTCGAACGGCACATGCAAGCCGAGGAAGGAGTACATCGAATATGAAATATGCTCTTGTTCTCGAGCTTATGTTTGTCCATGCAAAACCCTGTCGGGCTGAGGCCGCCGCTGTCAAGCAGCATGCCCAGCACCAGGCTGACGGATCCGAGCTCCACGGAACGCGCTGGGCCGAAGCGCTTCAGCAGTGAAGCCACGAAGACGCTGCCCAGGCAGATGGTGAAGTCGCGCAGAGAGCCGATCAGCGCCAAGGAGCCGGATGCGTGGCCGCTCTCCTTGACTGGCTAAGCCACTTGGAAGCATCTGTGACTGAAAGATGCTGTCAAAAACCACGCAAAAGCGCGGCCTCTGCCTCTCTAAGTTCCAGCCCGAATCGGGCTGTAGGGACCTTTTCGGGATGCGTTTGCCCAATGAAGCCTGTTTCAGCGCGGTGAAGAGCTGTCCATAGGAGTAGTACGGAGAAAGAGAAACTGCTTGCAAGGTGAAGGCCACAGCAAGCAGAAGCAGCTTCTGCGAAGTGCTCGTCATGGCTCAACTCAGCGTGAGTCAAGTCTGTGACAGTGACTGTAGGCAGATTTGAACATGTCAACTGCTTCATAGGAACCAGGGTCTTTGTGGATCAAAGATCTGTCCCTCTAGTTGAGCAGGTTCACTGTGGATTCCAGGCCTAGAAACCGATTTTACGTTGCTGTCTCACGAGCGCTCTGTTGGCAGCCTTGCTGCAAATGGGGACAGGCTACGTCAAACAACTTCTGTCTGGCCATGTTTGCCGCACTTCGAGATGCCCGGAGACAGAATGTTGAGTGTCAAACACGTATTACAAATGTTGGCGTACGAATCGAGCCCCTTCAAATGCTCGCCCCTTCTGCAAAGCAACCCGCACAAGCTACTTCAAAACAACCTCCAAGGAGCATTACTTTGCATTCCTGTCAATAAATGGCAGCTTGAGAAAATGACTGAGCGCGCTTTAGCGTTGGGGCCGACTGGCAATTCGCTCTGCACGGGCTAATTCGCTTACAAAAATCAGAGTGGCGTTTGCCATTCCCAAGCTGTCCTCTTCGAGGAAGCTCTGCTGGCACAGGGGACATCTTTGGCCATTTGCGTGGCAGAACTAAAGTCAAAGCCGCGAACTCACTGGAGACTTGAAATGCATCTTTCGGCGCGCCGGCCACGCCGGGCGCCGTCACGCCGTCTCTGGTCACGCCGCCACGGTGGCCGGCTTCACCCGCTTTGGGGAGGCTGGGCACTCGTGGAACAAGGAGAAGACCTTCGAGCTTTCCCAAAAGAAAAAGCAAATCTGAAAGATCCGGGCCTTGTTGGTGCTCACCGAGAGTCCTAGGCGACAGGGCTGTGTGGCGCAACACGGCGGAAGGCAACGCGGTCCTTGGGCATCTGGGACTTCTTGCACTTCTGGGACTGCTGGGACTGCTGGGACTGGCGCTTGCACTGGCGTCCAGTCCTGAAAGACAAAGCCCGAGCGAGAGCGGAGCGCAGCGCGGGCCAAGGCCTCCTTGCGCCGGCGCAGCAAGGCCGACATCGGCTCCTTGTCTCCTTCTGATCGGCTCTAAGCGCAGCTCACGCAAAAGTTGCTTGGCTCCTGCAAGGACCGGGCTGGACTTGGCGCGGAGCAGAGCGGCGGGCTCGCTTACTTGGACCTGACGCTTGGGGCGCAGCTTTTCTCTCGCTCAAAGCCCTCGGCCTTGGGAGCCTCTGGCTTTTTGCCCGTCTGGACGCTCAGCTGCAACCCGCGCCTCAAAACTGTCCATGTCGACATCACGGTCCCAACACGATGCCTATGTGTTGGCATGCACTGACCATGCTCAAGCCGCCTCTGCGCCATAGTGCCCCGAGAAGATGCCGGTGACGGCTCCTGTCGCATCTCTTCTTGCGAGCCATGCAGCTATGCGCGTGCCATGTTGAGCGGCCTGGCTGGGTGACACAGGCGTGGTCACAGACCTGCCATGTCCCAACAGCTCAGAGCCATCCCTCAACTTGATTAGCCCTAACCCGCCCTAACCCGCCCTAACCCGCCCTAACCCGCCATAACCCGCCAAAGCGGCGAGAGCGTGGGTCCTGCAATGCAAGTCGCTCGTCGCGAAGCTTGCCGGCCGGTTCCCCGAGTCCTCGCTCGAGAAGCGCCCTGGCCCGCTGCAGCTCCTCATGGAGCGCTTGGACTTCTGCGCACTTCTCTTCGAACTTCTTGGCCAGCCACGCCTGTCCCGCAAAGCGCCACACCAAGGCCAAAGATCTGAGCATTCCAATGCCCATAACTTTTAAGCATAGGGATCTCTTGATCGGCTGACAGGCCTTCTCCTGCTTTTCCTTGTCCACAGCCGTCAGCAGCCACTGAACGCCCTGCCCCAGAAGCGCTGTGAGGCTTTCTTTCATGCAATCTATTCCCTCTTTCGAGCCTCAACGTCTTTGACGACCTAGGCTAGCTCTCCAAAGCACTGCCGATGATCCGTGATCCCTCAACATAGGTAGCAGACGGCCGTTTGGGTTGCCTGCGAGCGTCTGCGGCCATTGAAAAAATGGTTCTGCACAAAAAATGCGCAGTCTGCCAATATCCATTAGAACTTGAAACCACGTGACTGCGCCGGGAAACGGTGAATACATGTGCTACCTGAGTACATGTCCTCCGCAAACTGTATGCAGTTCCCTTCCACGAGCAACTTCATATGAGTCAGCATCAAGATTTGGTGCTGCATTCATCATGACGTTAGGATGTCCCGTGTGGTTTTTCAGGTTTCTTCTCAGGTTTTGGGGTATGGTTCTTTTGGTCCCCCCGCGTTGCTTTTCGCGCACAACGAAAAAAGGTAAAGTCTGGCATATATGGGGGTTGATCAAAAGATCCTTTACATGGGATGACTGTTGGGGCAAACCCCGCAAAAGATGATATTTCCCACTAACTAGGAAAAGTTACCCATGGTCATTTGGGGGCCAGGAATATTGGTCAACCCTATCAAGAGCTATCAAGAATCGCTGCTCTTTGGCGCGCAGCTTGCGGCCTCGGCCTCCACGGTGCTTGTGGAGTGGGCGTTGAAGACGGCAGCGCTCTGGGCAGCACTCGCATGGATGCCAAATCACAAGAACTTCAAGATGCTCGGAGTGAGACCCAAGAAAAGTCGGCTGAGATTGATTCAATGATTTTTCAGCATGGTTTCGGTCCTTCTCCTTTGGTAGAGGCGGCACGCTGCTGCCGGCGCCCATGGCGTCATGCGAGGAGCTGCTGCTTGGTCCCCTGGATAAGCAGCCCAACCGCTGGGGGCGGGCAGAATTGGCTCCGGCTTGGAAAGGCTCGTCCCATGTATTAGGAGCTTGACAGTGAACTCCATGTGAATCCAGCTGGCTGGAGGGAAAGCCAAGTGCGTCACACTCCGCCCGCATCCCGCCAACAAAGTACTCCAAACAAGAAGCACCAATTGTAGAAATCCAAAGACATCCGAGTCGCGACATTTGCGGAGAGAAATCCGAAACACCGCGACTCTTTTCCAGCGCGCGCAGCCCGAGCTCCTGCAGCTGGTCAGCCAGGGCCGCCTCTGCGGCGGAGGAAGCCGCGCCCAGGGCGGCGCCGCACATCACGGCGTCCAGCTCCTGGCCTCGGAGAACAAAACAAGCACGGCAATTGCGGACGCCGATGTCAAATACATGAGACATAGCAACACATGGGTCATCAAACCTCCCGATGCGCTCAGCATGATTCCCTTGTCAGCCCGTCTTGATGCCAGCGATCCGTGGACTGCGAGAGCACATCTCTCAGATCACGAGTGCCATGGAAAGCAAAACGTCCCGGCTCGAAGCTTCATGCTTCGGCATGCTACATGCGGGCGTTTCTCGGGATGCATGCTGCTACATGCCTCACTTCCGGCTTGGTGCCAGGGGCACACCTGGGCCTGCACCACAAGCACTTACCGCGCACCCCACGGCATCACACAGCGCCCTTCGCCGTCCTCTGCGCGGCGCTGGCGGCGCTGGTGGCGGATAGCCGAAGCCAGGGCTGCGATCATCAGCCCTCGTGCGATGATCGGATCGCTCGGATCACGGATCCCTCAAATCTCTCAGGGCCTGGGGCTGGCAGACAGCCGCGTCATGGGCGACGCGCTCCTGGCCAGCCCGTCACAATTCATCACATGTGCCTCAATCTTCCTCTCTCGGTCTCTCTCTTGCTCTGCCTCCCTCTATCTGTGTCGCCTGGCACGGCTGGGCGTGCCGGGGCGTAGAGGCGCACCCGCGGAGCACAAGGCGTGCACGGTCTCCTGCGCACGTCCGGCTGAGACTCGAGACACGCACGGCACGGGTGGCCTGGAAGCCCAGGCGCTGTGCGATCTGAGCGAAAGCTCAAGCAGCTCTCAATCGCCTCCCCTTGAGCTGGTCCCCGCCTGTAGCGGCGTGTCGCCCAGCTTGGTCCCCGCCTTTCAAAGCACGAGGCCACCCAGGTGGCAACCGCACTGCGCCTCAGCATCGGCCCGCATCTCCAGTAGGTACTTTGCAGCCTCAGCCCCACTGCGTCACTTTGACGGCTTCATGTCCCGGCCTCAGCGTGCCCACGTCTGCACACCAGAAGCAGCGGCGTCTCCCCAGCGCCATTGCGCACCTGTGAATTGGACAGTGGTGCAAATCCGACGCCACGACTGTTTCATCCACGGCACATTGAGATCAGCACCCAACTCCACCAACAGCTTCACCGCGGACATCCTCATGTCGAATTCTTCGGAAACGGAGTATAAAGATTCTGGCCGAGCAGCTGGGAGGCTTCCGCAGCGAGGTGCAGGGGCGTGGCTCCTTGCTGGTTGGTCGGGTCCACCTGCGCCCAGTCTGAAGCAACTTGAGAGCACGGGCATCGAGATACGTTGCTCTTTGCAATTCGTGAAAGGCCCTTGGGACATGGAGTTGCTCGGCCTCGACTCCGTAGCCCATGAAGAAACTGATGAGCTCAGCATCGCCAAGTGATGCAGCAGCATGCAGTACAGAGTCCTAGGGGAAAGCAGCAAAAGCTAGATGCTTCACGTACCGCTTTCGGACTCAGACTGCTCTCCGTCCCTCTCCCTCCCTCTCCTGGGTGTCTGGGTGGACAGCAGTGAAGTCCGCCCCGTGGGCACCCATCAACTGGATCATCCCCTAGCCCCCGGCTGCGCCTCTCTCGCTGAGCGCTGAGCGCTGGGCGCTGGGTGCTGGGTGCTGGGCGGCGTCGCGACGCAGTACCGCGTCCATCAAACGGGCAGCATTCGTCCACTGCTCCTGGTGGCTCTCCTCAAGCGCGAAGCCGCGAAGCACAGTGCTTCAAGGCGGCTGAAGTGTCCTTGTCCCGGACAGCAATCACCTCGTCACAAGCAGGACATCTGTAGTTGTTGCCTCAGAAGGTAACTGAGGCCATGCAACTTTACTCACTCTGAAGGATCTAAGGGCCGCGCGGTAGCAGAAGACGCTGTGCGAGACCAAGTTGCTAGCGGGAATCTCGCGGCCGCAGTTGCCACAGGCAGAGTCCACCTCCGATCGTATTGAAACGCCTTGCCAAGGCTTGCCCCGCGCCGAAGACGTGCCTTTGCCGGCTCCGGCGCGGGCGGCTTCTCCGCCTCCAGGCTCATCACCTCCGGCACGTGCGCCAAGCCTCGGCAGAGTTGCCTAAAAGTAACGCGCGGCCAGTTCTCGGCATGCCCGCCACGCCTCGCTTGGGCAGCGGCGGCTTTGCCTGGCCGTCGCAAGGCCACTCTTTTTGCCAGCTCTCCCAGCCTGCCCGTTTCTCCCCCTCTCAACTCTCAGCTCAAGTCGCGAAAAACCTCTCTCAACGCTCGCTTTGCTGCACAATGCGGGCTCGAGCCGGGGCGTTTTCAAAAGCGAGGCCGGGGTTTTTGCCCCAAAGGCGGCTGTCGGCTGTCAGGCTGTCAGCCCCTGTAGAAGGGGGACGACTTGATGGCGTCCACAAAGGCCGGGCCCTCCTCGGCCTGCACCTTGGCCTTCAGCGTCTCGGGCGTGTCTGTGGGCTCCACTGGCACCTTGCGCTGCACCACCACGGGGCCTCCATCCACCTCCTCGGTGACCAAATGCACGGTGCACCCGCTCTCGGTCTCCTGCGCCTCCAGCACAGCCTTGTGCACCTCCAGGTCCATGCCCCCCGCGTGCTTCGGCAGCAGGCTGGGGTGGATGTTGATGCAGCGCCCCTCCCAGTCCTTGCAGAACTCGGGGCTTACGATGCGCATAAAGCCACACATCATCACCAGCTCCACGCCCTCGTCCCGAAACACCTTCGTCACCGCAGCGTCGTACTCCGCCCGGGGCGTGCCTTTCTTGCAGGGCACGTGGGCGGCCTTCACGCCCTCGGTCCTGCCCCTCTCCAGGATGCCGGCGTCGCCCTTGTTGGAGACCACCACCACGATCTTCGCGTTCAGCTCGCCCTTCTTGATGGCGTCAAAAGTCAGCTGAGACGACGAGCCACGGGTGGAACCGATCAAGCCGATGCGCAGCGGCTCCGCCATCACGCGCGCGCGGCCCAAAGTGTCAGCTCAAAGATCCCTGAGGTCCCCTTAAGTCCCATGGTTACCTGTGACGTCTCTGCCTCAGCCCTGCAATTTATGAAATGAGGTGATGCAGTTCCACGCCGTGCCAAAACGGCTGGCAGGGTCTTGCGCGTCCAAGCATGTCCATTGATTTGTGGCGGTGGGCATTTCCACGCCTAAGACTCAAGGCACGTGAAGCCTAGCACCATCGCTGGCTCCCCACCTCCTTGCCCTCGATGCGCGCAATGACCGCCGCCGTCTGCGGGCGGTCTGCCTCCACAGCCTCAAGCTCCTGAGTCCGAACCGAGCGAAAACCAACGGTTCGCAAACCCAAGCAAAACGAATCGGAGAACCCAACGCGAATTTACCGCGACCAACGAGGTGAGACAATCCCCAATTTTCGGTTGGGAGACGGAATTCGGGATGCTTACTATTACGAGAAGGCTGTTGGTTAGGCTGAGGGTGGGTTCCGAGTGGGCTTGGGACTTGGGATAGAGTTGAGGTTGGTGAAGGGCGGGTTCAGGGTTTAGGGTGCATTTAGGGTGCATTTTAGGGTGCATTTAGGGTGGGAGGACTGGCATCTCTGCATCCTTGATCCGGTTCAGCAGGATCTGCGTGGTGGACCGAAAGTTGTCCACCATGTCATCCTTCTCGCGCTGCAGGGACTGGACCTGCACCGCACCGCACCACACAAGCCGCTCGAGAAACAAACCGCTCGGGGGGCCGCCCAAGTCGGTCCTTGCTGCGCAGGCGCTTCACCTCGGACTTGAGCAGGTCCAGCTCGTTGCTCACGTGCGTGTCCAGCAGCGACCTGCACACTCGCTAATGCCTCAAAAGTGTGCCGCAGGCATCTGATGTCAGTACTCTACTCGAGTAATGCACACCACGCCTAACAAGGGCATCACCATTCAGGGTCCCCTGAAGCGCCACATTGCCGTCCTCTTCCTCTTCCTCTTCCTCGTCCTCACCACACTCTGTACACCTGCCTATGCAAACACACACCAAACAAAAAGCCAGAAATTGACTGCAACCCCTCCTCGTCCATGTCTTCGCCACTCAAGCATCAGCGCAATCCCCACGAAGGGCTTGCGACTTTGTCTGGTCCCTCCTTCTCGTTGGCTCACGGACGTCGACACTTTCTTTGTTACCAGGAAAACTGTTCCTTTGCTTGACACTTTCGTTGTAATTCTTGAGTCATGCCAGGCATGCCAGCTACCAAGGTGGCAGTCTGATCCCAAGCTGCGGCACGCTCTTCTCATGTCTTCCCCCTCCCAAGTCCAAGGGTGGAAAGGGGCACGTGGCACATGGCAAGAGGCCTTGCACGGTTTGCAGGCTTGCACTGGCCGGGCCACCGCACGCTGGGCCGTGGAAAGCTCCAGCACGGCTTGGGCCCGAGTGAAGCTGCCCAGACGCTCGCACGCCAGCAGGGCGGTGCTGAACACGGCTGCGTCAGGCAGCAAGGCCTGAAATACAAAGGCAAAGTTGGCAAAGCAAGTCTTCCACTTCGCGCACTTCGCGGAAGTCGCGCAAGTCGCGCGCGTGCCTTCCTCTGCATCTGCTCGATCATGGCCAGTGCGCGCCTTACGGCTGTCACCTCGCCCCTTCGAAGCCTTCGGCAATCGGATCGGTCGCTGAGACCTGGGCTCGAAATGCCCAGCGCTGTGGCAAGCGCTGGCCGCTGCCGTGAACGCCTGCCTTGGACAAACGCTCTAAAAATCCAATATGACACGTGAGCCACAGATCTGTTGTCAATGTCCCAAATTGACAGTGGGTAACTTAACTCGCTTCCCAAAAAATGATTTGGTGGTTGTGCCCACGGTCATCGCCTTGCGGGGAAAAAACAAAAAAAAATGAAATTCACATCAGTCGAAGTCTGCCCTTTCAATCCCTGCAGTTCCGGAAGGGCTTCCGCCGTCCGGAAGTGCTTCCGCCGTCAGCCCTTGGCGCCTGGCACGTTGACGTCCTGAAGTCGAATCCGACTTTGGGAGGCCTGGGACTTTGGCCGGGCCTGGCCCTCCGAGACGAGGCTGACAGCTGCCGGCCACTGCAAACCTGGAGACGAGCTGAGGCCGGGGAGGCTGGGAGGGGAAGCTTGTGGCCTTGTTCGCAGGCTGACAGCAAGGCTGTGTTGGTGACCTGAATCAATAAGCACTCGCGCACATCTCTTGACTCGTCAGTTGGGCAAATCTTCGGGTTTCTCTGAGACGTCCACCACATCAGCGCGCCAGTGCATGCGCACCTCTTCACTCGCCTAACTGGAGTCCCATGGATACAAATATAGATGCAAATATGGGTGGAAGTGCAAGATCGGCCTCCAAAGCCTGGGACCATTCACTGCAGGCGACCAACCTGGGAAAAACCCACAGCCGCAACCAAGTGGTGGCAAGGGCCAGACGTGTTCCACGTGATCAGGTCCGGCTGCAAGTCGCGGGCCAAGGCCTGACTCAACGTGGCTGATCCGCCCACTTCCCAACTTCAACCCATCTACCCCGGTCAACCCCTACCCGCCCTACCCCCGGCCCTCTACCCAACGCCCTCTCGCCCTCTGCACTGCTTCCATCTCGGGCACGGGCCGCCAGCGCCAGCGAGGCCTGCGTCCATGCGGAGGCAGCGGAGCTCAGCGCCGCGTTCAGCAGCGCTACGTCCACACCTCGGGCACTCGCCATGGACAAAATGTTGCAAAATGGGACAGAAAGGGACAGAATGAGGCAAGATGCTTCAAAAAGAACCAACTGCTGGCCAGAGCCTTTGAGTCTTCGACTTTGACGACAGCATCTAGCAACTTGGGCTTCTGCGGAGTGCGCCCTGCCGCGCGAACTGCAGCAGCTCCAAGCCCCAGTCCTCAGCGTCTCGGCGTCTCAGCGTCTCGCCCTTCGGCCTTCGCGCGCGAGGTCAGGTCCGCGCCCAGCGGCGCGCGGCGTCACAGGCCGCCATGGCGGAGCTGAAGCCGGCAAGCGCCGTGCCTAGAAGGGGCACGAACAAAGCAAAACTGAAAGAGACAAAAAAGGAGGAGATTCAGATGTTGGGAACACGTAGGTCTCAGTGGCCCACGCGAGGGCTGGGGCCGGGCTCCTGTGAGCCTGAGAGGGCGGCTCTGAGCCACTGAGCTTCTGAGCTCTAACTCTGGGCCGCCCGGCACGGCGATGGACTGCTCCCAGGCGCTGGCCTCGCCGGAGCCGCAAGGGACCGAGCGCAAGTCCGTCCCTCCGGCCTGGGCACAGCCTCCCACCACGGCGCTGCGTGGGCTGGCCGCCAACAAGCCACACCTTTTGCAACTCGGGCCAAGCCAGGCTGCCAAGCGCCAAGCGCCAAGCGCCAAGCGCTGCCAAGCTGCCTGCGGCCCCACCAGAACAAGTTCACCGCAGCCTTCCAGTGGGGGCCGCAAGAGGAGACCTCAGCCCACTGGCTCATAAGCAAGATCGATGTTCCATACGCACTGCAGAACTTCCCTCTTCACCACTGCGCGGTTTGAGCCACAGGCCGTCGCCGTGAAGGCAGCTTCATCAAGCTGGATCCCAGAGAGCCCCTGCAAAAGCTCAAGGATGCAAGGATGGTCCATGCGGTGTGGAAGCTTAATATCCGAGTCGCCAACCTTCAGAAGAAACACACTGGAGAGCCAAGCTCCTCTTCTCAATGCCTCATCGGGTACCGTCTTGGCGTCAAGATTCTTGAACATCGCCTGATGCCTAGTGTCTGATCTGTCCAATGATGATCTGCGTCCCTGGGCTGGTCATCTGAGCGCTGGGCATCCACTGCCGTGGTTAGGGCAACCACCTGGCCAAACTGCCAAACCGCCGAATTCGCAAAAGCGAGCGTAGCGTCCAAGGCGCCAGCATTTGGCATCAAGCGGCAGGCAGGCGCCAGGGACAGAAGAAGCCTCGGCAGCCGCCATTGGCCTTGCGCAAGCCCAGATTCGTTGAACGCGCACGTCAACGTTCGGGCCTTTGCAGACCGTCATGGCAGTGCTGCAAGCCACAATGTCGGAGATGAGTCCCAGGTGCCTGGACTTTCAAGTCAAGGCAAAAAAAACTTGCCAATGATTCGTTGAGGCCCAGGCAACAGCGCGGCCTGCCACTCGCCGCCGGCGGACGCGGCAGAGCTGCCTGCGCTCTTCGCCCCGAAACTACTTCTCTCCAGTCTCCCTTAAAACGAGACTGAGGCAGTGGCGGGAGATGGCATTGGCCCGGGCCCCGCGAGCAGCGAAGGCGGCCAGGAGCTCTGCTGCCTGCAGCCAGGCCCCGGCCCGCGCAAAGGCCGCCAGCCCCGAGTTGTAGCTCACCAGGTCCGGGGCAAGCCGACACCTTACACGGACCCGGACGATTCGACAACCAAACATTCCAAAGGAAACTAATCTTTCAAATTCGTATTTGGTGTTGGGTATACCTCATCATTGTGTCTTTCTTTCAAGACCACTGGAAAGCACCTCTATGTCCGCATCGCTCTGGTTGACTCTGTAATCTCGGCATGGTGCGATTAAGCACATCAGAAAACACAGTTTTTGAGCGTATCAATCACATGGAGGCTCGTTGTAGTGAGTTTTTTGAGGCAATGCCTGACGCAACGTACGACACATTCAAACCTCTTTGTGTTCCAAGCGTTCATTCATTCATCAATGCCATGTGACAGGTTATGCAAAAAGCAAATTTTCGACACCTTCACATGTCGCTCTGTGCTCGGTTGACTTGAAGCCAATTTCATGCCTGTAAGCTTCAAAACCAATCAAGCATTCGCAAAGCGATTAGGCACAAAGTGCCAACGTTGAGAATACTCCAAGCATGTTGCTAAACAGAAACAGGCCCGCAATATCCCGCAATGCACGTCTCCTCAAGCAAAACACAATGGTGCCTCTTCAACAAACTGACTAACCAAACACGTTCTAACCAAACATGGCTTGGACTTGAGCCAGGTCTTTACAGATCCTGATGCTAGACGGCATCCTATTTGCCGACAAGATTGAGCCACCATGAGTGGCAAGGATTCCCTGGGCAGGGGCCTGTACATGCCACGCTGTCTTCTCCGTGACCGCCATACCAATTGTCCAGCGACTTGCCGGTGGCTCGGTTTGTAATGAAGACTGTTCCATCTTTTTGCGGGGCTACAGACCACTGGTGGTGCGGATGAGAACCATCGGACTTGACGGGACGAACTTCTCCTGGATCAGTTTTTCCGCCGTAGTGATCAAGCATCATGCCTGACTTTTGGTTCAAGATGTTGTACCAATCACTGGCTGGCTGGAAGTACCACAAATGTTCTCCAATGTCGTTCTGCTCTGAGGCCATTCGGATCGAATTCTTGCCCTCTTTGCTGTAGTAGTGGTCCAGCACCTTCTTGGAGCTCAAGCCCATCAATTTGTAAGCGGCTCCGACCACGATTGCCGCAAAAAGGCCTTCAGGATGTGGAACTGGAGGCTGGGGCTTCTCCAGGAGGCTGAAGCAATGAGCACCCAAGTGGATGGGCCCCGCCGGCTTTTGGTACCCCTTCTTTGCTGCAACCCCTCCATTGATCATGTCGGCACCGCCAACAATCATTGCACCCATCCCGGCGGCAGCAAAGGCGAATCCTCCGGCGAGAACAGGCGCTGCCAATCCGCCAGCGAAGGGAACCATGCAAATCACGCCTATACCACCCAAGAGCAGAAGACCGCCTGCCACAACTTTGAAGACGCCCCCCTCAAAGGAGCCCCGCAGGTGTACCATCACAGGCCGCGCTGAGGCAACAGCATCCGATGAGACTCTGAACTCTGAACTCTGATGTCTCAAGTTGCGATGATGAGAAGGCTTTCACTCGTTCTGCCTGTGTTGAAGCCATACCGCATGAAGCCATACCGCATGAAGCCGTGGCAGCTGAGGCATATGGGGACCGGAAGCTGAAGGTATCCAGCAAGGTTGCCGAGGTAATTGGAGACTTGGGGATGTGACGGTCTGGGCTCTGAGCACTCAATCTGACCAGTTCTGCAGGCGAGGTCACACCAGGCACAAACGCCAGAACCAATTCTTGGCCAGGTGAGAACGGCAACTCGTCCACCCCAACGCACATCGCTGCAACCAAGCTCTCAAAGTCTGAGTCCGCCATTGCAAAGCTGTCCTCCAGGTGAAGCCCGCGCTCGATCCAAAGTCGGCTTGGCAAAAGCAATTTTATTGGCAAAACTCTGCATTCAACATGCTGACATAAAGGCTGCCCCATTACTTTGCAAATGACATGCAAATGCGAGACAATAGATACACAATCTATTCAATCTGTTGATTTTACACATAAATATCAATGTGGCTTTGCAGCTTGTTGAATAGCTTGGTTCACTGCCTTCGCAAAAAGAATGAAGACTCTCACGACGTCCCGAAACCATGGCCTGGCAGGCATGGTAGACGAAAGTTGGCTATGGAGGTCTCAAATTTATCAGGATACCAAAATGTGGAAGGAGGAACGCGATGACATGTAATGCAACCGTGAGGCCGCCCCAAGCGGTCTGGCTGCAGTTGCAGTAAGAGCAATCGCCAGTGGCTGCATTTGGCCAGAACTGATAAGGCCTAGTCATCTCTCGCAGGCACAAAGCACCAAGGCAATTTCAGCCTGGTTGACGGGCACTATGCTTGCCTGTGCGCATGCGTGTCAACGGTGCACTTGCTGAGCCTACTTCGAATGCGCTTGCCAAGGTGACTGCCCAAACATGTCAAAACACCTGACAGCATCCGGCCTGGACGCATCGCGCCTGGCCCAACGCAAATAAGTCCGACTGGACAGGTCTCCTCTTTGCCTCCAAGACTGCGCGCCAATGGGCCTCGGTGCCGAGATTCACCAAATCCTTATGATACATGTGCGCCAATTGTCTGATCCCAAAATCCCCAGATCCCCCGATCCCCAGATCCGAGACCCTGGCAGGAGTCTGGCGCATGGCACAGCATGACTCCACCCATTGTCCAGCATCGGCTCGCGCAGGCGGTGTGATGCTTCGAGCTTTGCTGTCCGGGGGGCTGGTCCTATCAAAGGGCACTGAGGGAGGGCATAAACAGCGTACGTGTTGCGTTGACAGGCTCGAGGCATATTGCACTGAACTGTTTACCAGTGCTTGCCCATACAACTATGATTGCAAGATGTTGCGGTACGCGCCGCAGAATCTAGAAAATTGGACTTGTCAATGCAGAGTCCCATTGTTAGGAAATACCTGCGCGGCCTTGCCACGGTCTCAGGTTCCAATTGGGTGACATTCATATGTTCATACGTCGTTGACCGCGCGCCCTCAGGCTGTGCTCATGGCAGTCTGGTCGGGGCTTCTTTGATTGGTTGAGTAGCCACTTGAGCCACACGGAAGCCTGGAGAGCAGGCACGCAGCACGCATGCGAGCTGCCAGCCTTTTCCTGGGCTCGAGGCCCTTGCCCGGGAAAATTCACGGAAGCTGTACACCGAGGCCGGGTACACACCGAGTCACCTGCCCAACTCAATCCCCAACAGCTCTTGAAACAAGCCGCGCCTCACATCCGAAGCAAATACCAAAGTGAGAAGAGGATGAAGAGAGTCAAAGCCATCCTTGGACCCACGCCAAAGCATTGAGCTGCGCTGATTGAAGCCAAGTGACCAGCTATTGCAATCTCAGCTCCCAGCCCTCCATACACCAGCCACTTGTCACCTGTCTGCCTGCGGTCGATGACGTTCACCAGGCTCTGGGACACCTCGAGATCAGGTCTCTCTGGGAAGCTGGGAGGCTTCCAGGGCCGGCGCCCCAATACTGTTGGCCGCATCCAAAATCTTCCGTCTGGCATTCTTCAGCACCTTGCTCTGGTTCACCTCGGCCGAACCGGTGAAGCAACCAACCTGCGCTGGGTCGGATCGGGTGCCGGGCCAGGTTGCCCAGGATGGAGCCGGCTTGGTCCAGGACCTCGTCCAGGGCAGACGCCGAGTCCCTCAGCGCCCGGTTCTCTTTGGCCAGGCCCTGAAGCATCCGTCGCAGCCGTGTGTCTTTTTCTTGCTCGCGCGTTCGTTGCTTGAGCGTCACGATTTCAGACTCGAAGTAGTTGACATGCGAAGTTAACGAAACATTTTACAAGGCCTGCATCTCGTCATCCGGACCGTCCCTCTTCTTCCGGTCCCCCAGCAGCTTTTTCCTGTTCTCCTCCTCTTTCCTCACCTCGGCGCATCGCTTTGTGCATCCTGCTAAAGTCAGCTTTTGGTGCCCGGACTTTGAAGAAAGCGCCCAGCTGCTTATCAATAGCACTCTGGATCACAAACCTTGGCAGCAGGATCTTCACTCCGCACTGCAGCGTAAATGTTAACCGCACCCGAATTTGCAACACTTACTTGACATGAGCGTCATGCGAAATCTGTTCTCCCATCTTGAAGCACTGCTCCCTGGGTGCTCGGCACATCTTCCTCCAAGCGGCAGGCCTTTCGCTCCCAGCCCGCTCTACCCTTCTCGGGCATGGCATCCACCTGCCGATTCCAGCGACCCGTTCCCACGATTCTATCCAGCCCTTTCACGTTACGCGCCTCCTCTCGTATCCGCTGCGTGGTGTTTGTCAGGTCCGCCGACAGTGCCGCCAGGCCTCGGGGGCTCCAATCCGGTCGCGCTGAAACATCCAGAGAGACCCCGGCGCTGCTGCATCGCCACGTCGGAGCCCTGCTGAGCCTGACATCCGAAAGGAACCCTGAAGCTGATGGACTGAATGCGAAGCGAATGCCATCCCGTCCTTCGGAGCAGCAAAGGCTTCCAGCACGGAGTCGACGTCCCTCTTCAGCCTGGCGCTAACTCTACGAATCAGAAAGTGGAAAAAACTGAGGCTCGCACCCATCAGCTTTGCGAAACAGCGGCCCCACATCATTGCTTGCCTGGCCAGCCGGCTTTGGCGTTTCGGCAAGGTCTTTTGGTGTCTTTGGCCGGTTGCAGTTCAACTCATGCCAGTGAGTCCATGGCTTGCCGGCAAGCACGCACGGGCCCGGAGTGTTTGAACACCTCTGGGAGGAGGTTCTACTTGGCAAAATCGTGCGAAATGTGCTTGCAGTGGCCAAGCGCAGCGTGCATCTGGCTTATGCGAGGCTCAAGGCTCCTCATGTGCTTGAACCATAGAAAGCAAGCTCCACGCCAAACCAACCTCTTTTTTGATGGATGGAAGAGTTTGTCGATGCAATGCTCAGGCTATGCATGCATGGACTCGGTCGTAACACTCGGCCAGCCACCCTGACTGTTTCTTTCCCTGCTCGGCAGGCAGCTCGCACAAGCAATGGGCGAAGGCAGGCTCTCTTTGAAGCCCTTTCTCACCCGAGATCAGGTCAGATCTCAGTCTCTCCTGGGCCATGCATGAAACTATGCTCCAAGATGGGCAAAAACAAGACGCCCATGACAGGCCCGAACCAGACCAAACGCCGGCAAGCGCCGATCACAAATCAAACGGGACCCGGGCTTGCGGTCGCGCGGGGAGTCCCGAGGGGAACCCCGCGGCGTGCCGCGCGGCGTGCCGCCCGGCAGGCTGGAGGAGTTCAGGTCCGACACCTAACAGAAAACATGAGCCGAGAGCCGAGCGAGCCGAGCGAGCCGAGCGAGCCGAGCGAGCCGAGCGAGCCGAGCGAGCCGAGCGAGCCGAGCGAGCCGAGCGAGCCGAGCGAGCCGAGCGAGCCGAGCGAGCCGAGCGAGCCGAGCGAGCCGAGCGAGCCGAGCGAGCCGAGCTAGCCGAGCGAGCCGAGCGAGCCGAGCGAGCCGAGCGAGCCGAGCGAGCCGAGCGAGCCGAGCGAGCCGAGCGAGCCGAGCGAGCCGAGCGAGCGAGCGAGCTGGCAAGCCCGAGCCGAGCCAGCCGAGCGAGGACTCCTGGCAGGAGCCGGCAGGCCAGGCGTTCTATCAGCAGGGAGCCGAGCCGAGGCGAGGCCGAGGCCCGAGCCGAGCCGAGCGAGGCCGAGCGGAGCCGAGCGAGGCCGAGCAGGCCGAGGCAACCGAGCAGGCCGAGCGAGCCGAGCAGGCCGAGCAGGCCGAGAGCGAGCTTGAGCCGAGCGAGGCCGAGCGGCCGAGCCGAGCGAGCCGAGCCCGAGCCGAGGCGAACCGAGCGAGCCGAGGCAGCGAGCCGAGCGAGCCGAGCGGGCCGAGCCCGAGCGAAGGCCGAGCGGCCGAGCGGAGGGCCGAGCCGAGCGAGCCGAGCGAGCCGAGCAAGCCGAGCGAGCCGAGAGCAGAGACCGAGTTGAAACGAGGCCGAGGCGAGCCAGGCAGGCGAGCTGACCGAGCGAGCCGAGCAGGCCAGGCAGGCCAGGCGAGGAATACCGAGCGAGCCGAGCGAGGCCGAGCGCCAGGCGAGCCGAGCGAGCCGAGCGGGCCGAGCGAGCCGGCCGGCAGGCAGGCCGAGCCGAGCGGGCCGAGCGAGCGAGCAGGCCAGGCGAGCCGAGCCGAGCCGAGCAGGCGAGCGAGCCGAGCCGAGCCGAGGCGAGCCGGGCTTGAGCCGAGCCGAGCGAGCCGAGCGAGCCAGCCGAGCGAGCGAGCGAGCAGGCCGAGCCGGCGAGCCAGCAGGCCGGCGAGCCGAGCGGGCCGAGCGGAGGCCGAGCAGGCCGAGCGAGGCGCCGAGCGAGCCGGCCGAGGCCGAGGCAGGCCGGGCGAGGCCAAGGCGAGCCGAGGCCGAGGCAGGCCGGCAGGCGAGGCAGGCCGAAGGCGAGCCGAGCGAGCCGAGCGAGCCGGCAGCCGGGCAGCCGAGCGGCCAGGCCCAGGCCGAGGCCCGCCAGCAAGCGCCGAGCCGAGCCAGCGAGGCCGAGCGAGCCGAGCCGAGCGGACGAGCAGGCCAGGCAGGCGAGCCGAGCCGGCGAGCCGAGCAGGCCGAGCGAGCCGAAGGCGAGAGCCGACCAGGCGAGCCGAGCCCGAGCAGCCAGGCAGAGAGGCAGGCCGAGCAGGCCGGAGGCGGCCGGCCGAGGCCGAGGCGAGCCGAGCGAGCCAGGCGAGCCGAGCGAGCCAGAGCCGAGCCGAGCCCGAGCCGAGCGAGCGAGCCGGCGAGCCAGAGCGAGCCGAGCGAGGCCGAGCGAGCCGAGCGAGGCCGAGGCAGCCGAGGCGGCCCGAGCGAAGCCGAGCGAGCCAGGCAGGCCGCGCCATGCCGTAGGCCGAGCAGGCCGGGCCCGAGCGAGCCGAGCGAGCCGAGCGAGGCGAGGGCAAAATGGGCCCCCGAGCGGGCCGACAAGGCGGAGCCGCGGCCAGGCCGGGCGAGCGCGACCGAGCGAGCCGAGCGAGCCGAGCGGAAGCGAGCGAGCGAGCCGAGGCAGGCCGAGCGAGGCCGAGCGAGCCGCATCCGGGTCGGATGCGGCAGGCCGAGCGAGCGAGCAGGAGCCGGGCGGGCCCGAGGAGCCGAGCCCGGCCCGAGCCGGAGCGAGGCCGGGCGAAGCCGAGAGCCGGGAGCGGGCCCGAGGCCGAGCGCGAGCCGAGCAGGCCGGGCGAGCCGAGCGCCGGCCGACCAGGCCAGGCCAGGCCGGGCGAGGAAGCGAGCGAGCCAGGCAGGCCGAGCAGGCCGAGCGAGCCAGGCAGGCCAGGCAGAGCCGGGCCAGGCCGAGCCAGGAGCCGAGCAGGCCTCCAGCTCGGGCAGGCCGCAGCAGGAGCGAGCGAGCGAGCGAGCCAGCAGGAGCGAGCAGGAGTTGACCAGGCCGGTGAGCGTCTGAGGGTTGGCCAAAGCCAAAGTGCCAGTCACCGAGGGTTAGGTGGATCCCTCGCTAGCCTGGCCTCGAAGTACTCCCCTCTGGAGAGGAAGAGGGAATGCAACCACCAGGCAGTGCCAATCTGCAAAAGGATCAGGCAGCTGTTGAGGATGGGTGGCCGCCAGTACCTCTGGACTTCCCGTGGATACCTCACGAGTGGTGGAGGAAGCGGGGCGCACGGGGCGAAGATGGAAACGACAAGCACGAGCAATGGCGGCCCCACAAAGTACAAAGTACCTCGCAGCCAGATACTTTCTCGGACTCTAGACTTCTATCCTTTTCCCCGGGCGCCCGACCAATTATGCCGAAGGTCGCCAAGAATCGTCGGATCCTGGTAACGCGCAAAGTACACAGCTTGGACTGACGTGCAAGTGGCCTGAACGGAGCACCCTGCATCGTGCTTGTCAGCGCCCACATGAACCCTGCCTCACATTGTGTAACGAAGGTGAACCCCCCCCTCGCCCTGGGCTCAGCGCGAAGAGGGCCAAACGCAGTGCCTGGAACTTGGCACCGGACACGGACACGACACACGACATGGCGGAGCTTAGCGGAGCACCAGCAGCATTTTCCCAGCTAGACCGTCATAGTCATGGAACTTGTCCGCGGCATCCTGTGCACATGACATCTGAACACCCTCACATCGGTGAACTATCCGCAACAAAGACAGGCTCCCACTTCAAACCAGACTCCGCGACGGACTGCCTGCTGACACAAGCCTCAAGTACAACCAACGCTAGTATTCAATCATATTTTCATTCAGCTCGATCATCGGAGTTTCAAAATTGAACATGAAGACTTGTCAAAACAAATGTTTGGATTGCCTTCAAGCTGGATCGCGGTGCAACAAGGGCGCACACGCACGCGCACAAAGCCCACACACATACATATACATCCACACACACAGAGACAACACTCCTACGAAGAAAGCCCTGAGGCATTCTTTTCCCCTGCCAGCATCATTGCCACAAGTACTTGTGCAAGCACCCTCAAGCCCCAAGCAAGCGTTGCAAGAGCACCTACAAAGTTGGTTTTAATGCTGAAGCTCGCAATGTGCCTTGCACCAGCAAAGCCCAGCGCGTTTTCAGTCCTGATCCCCCTCTGGACCGCAAGTCCCAGGTACAGAAAAAACTTCGCATCCCCGGATGCGAGTGAGTGATCGCTAAAAGCTTAGCGAGTCGTGTTGGGATGTATTGCCGATTTCCCATCTCCCCAGCGCATTTCAACTGAATGGCGATTTAAAGAGGCTTCTGGATCTTACACAAAACACCAACCCGGGTGAACCCCTTCAGCGTCCGTTGGGTTTTGCATGGCGAGCGGGCGCCTCGCCCTTGACAAGCAGCACCAGCACGACATGCACCAGGGCGCCCAAGCTGAATACAATCAGCACCTGGGCACTTTGCTACCCGCCCATCATGGCCATTGGCCGAACTCTACATGACAGATTGCGGGACAAATCGTCCTGTGGCCGCCTGACCTGTTGAAACTCCGACATTCTGGCAATTCTGACTTTGAAACATGACGTGGGTTTGCTGCTTGGGTCTGGCTGGCTATAGCATAGCTGAGCCACTGTCGCCGGCTCCACGTCAACTGGAATCAACGTGTAGCCGTACCTGTGGCAAGCCGACTTCCAGGTGCGAGGCCAAATACATTACACTACATCACATCTGCCAGGAGGCGGATCAACCACGCAGTCAATTGACAGGGTAGTTGAGGTTCGACTCCCGTGGGGTGACCAATACCCTCGACAGCAAGTCGTATAGTAGCGGTCGTGGTAAAAGGGGGTTGTAAGGTAAATGATCTGCGTTGTCTCACGACTCGATGCGACCGCGGAATACGAACCCTTTTGCTTTGCTTCACAGCAGTGTTTGGATGTTTGCCTCGATTCTATTATCAAGGTCTTGAGCCAAATGCATTCGCATGTACATGTCGGCTGCACTCAAAACACAATCTCCCCAAAAGGTTTGAGACCATAAACAAGGGGAAATAACAGGGTGACCCTCAGAACCTGCCCTTAGGATGTTTTCGCCTTGCGGCTGGGAGATTCTTAGCATCCCCCATCCCGGGCTAGGGTTCATCCCTGGGCCGGGAACCAATCACAAATGCATGCCGACACACATGGACGCACAGCTTCATTTTTCAACTCAGTGAAACGTCTCTGCACGAGTTTGACCAGGTTCTGTAGACTTAACACGAAACGAGAATGCTACAGGTCACGTGCCGGACCTCATGTGCGATGTTGCACATGCAGCAAGCTATCCATAAGGTAATTGTACAGATCCATGGCAGGCTGCAGAAAACGAATATCCATGACTAGCATAGTCCATCACCATTTTGTAACCAGTAATAATTGTAGCACCGAAAACGTTGACCACCAAATACCTGGCATCCGATGACGACACTGTACGGAAAAACAAGAAAACATTCTGTGGTGACATACGCGAGCCTCGTGCAAATACTTTCGGTTTTGCCCAAGGTACCGCGCATGACGGGTACCACAAGGGTTGACCATGATACCACACACGATGAATATCACGATCCCATTGTGTAAATGCAAATCCCAGTTGGTCCTCCACGTAGAAGAAATCGTAAAGAAAATGCTTGATCACCAGTGTGGTGATTCTGCGATGGCCCTTCTACTCGCTCTCCATCGGAACCTTTCTAACAGAGAGTGTGGTGTCTCCTCGGTCCGATCGAGCTTCACGAGAAAGCGTGAGGGCAGATGTATGTTGTGAGAAGAGCACCATTGGATAAGAGGAGTGTCTACCTCTTTCACGTTCTGAATGCAAAGGATTGCACCAAGCTCAAGTTTCAAAAACTTGCGTCCAATGTGCACATCTGTCCTGTAGAAGGTCATGTAATCGCAGTTGAGGCCAAGGGCGATGCATCAGAATATCGTGTCGCTGATGAATGTGATGTCCTTCAAGTGGCTGACACCTCTGAACTGCTCTGCTTTGATACCAAGTATGTTGCAGGCGGTCCAAATCCGATACATGATGTAAAGCCCTCTTAGCTTCAGCGACCAAAAGAACATTTCTTCGTCCCTGTGGTTTGCGCTTTTGTGCCTCACATTCTTGAACTTGGGAGCAGCAGTGACCTCTTCTAGGGTTGGCGGGATCTGGATATTTGCGTCATCAACTTCTTTGAAGATCCAATCGTCCCTCCCGTTGATCGAGATGTAGGGACAGTATAATCCGCCTTCTTTGCCTGGCTCCTTGACGTCATCTGCCTCGTTGTGGGCAAATACTTTCCACACCTTGAAAAGTACTACTCCAACGAATCCAGAGAGGTATGAGGCCTCGCCGGTTCATCATCGATGTCCGTCCCGATGTCCGACGGGATGTACGATCTGCCTGCAGACCGTTCTTCACTCATCTCGTGGGTGTCGGGTTGTTCTTCTTCGGCATTAAGTCGCTCCGCATCCTCCTTCGCTTCTCGCTGAGCTTGTTTCACTTCCTCCGTCACATTGGTGGTGTCGGATGGTTTGGCCTTGTCGTTGTCCACATTGATCACGAACTTGCCTGTGGAAATGAACTCGCATTGGCATGCCGTGCAATAACAAAATCCCCTCGGAATAATGATAGCGCATGCTGGGCATACCCTGTTGGAAATACATGATGGATCATCCTCGCGGTAGACAATGAATCTGCTAAGCAAATCTCTGATCTCTACCAACGATTTGTCCAAGGCTTCGGGTACTCCGATCTGGATGCAAGCATCGACGACCATCTTTTTCAGGATGATAGCATCCGCTGAATCTTCATCGTCCAGGAAATTGTTGAGGTTTCCAAGGAAGTCCACCGGGGTCACGCCCACAGCGTCCTTGAACCCGGGACAGATCTCGCTCTCAACAGAGCGGGAATAGATCCGTTTGACTTTCTTCACAGGCCCTTTCTTCGTGGACTTGAATCTCCCAGATTGCCCTTATCTCTCTGAAGGGAATGGTCTCGAAGGCGACGATCGTTCCTCCCGATGTCACTCCTGACCTGTACACGGACAATTTACTTGTTGGCACATAGATGGCGATGAGGTCATCTCTTTCTTTGACGTCGTGCATTGCAGTCTTGGTCGAGATGTTCTCGCCGTCCCAAGGTGCAAATACTCCGAAGTGTACTGCCAATCTCCGTGCACTGTCATTGCCGCCAGGAACGATACCTCTCAAAGTGATACCTTCCAGGGCTGCTGGTTTTGTCACGTGAAAAGCTCCGCCCAAGCGATCGGACATGCTCGGGAACAACATGTTGCAAAGTTCAGCAGGACGAGCGAATCCGAAATCCGAATGCCCTGATGACGCACGAATGCACCATGGTTGCCACCATCCGCCATGCTCGCGACGAATCCAGTCAACGTCTTTCTTCGTCCATCCAGCCGCTATGAGACCCGCCATTGTCTCCATGTCGATCTCCTGATCAAACCTCGCAGCAAGGATTTGCAGTCTCGGCTTGCGTGCTTTCTTATCTTCCGATCTGATGCACTCGGCGATCATTTGGAATTTGTCGCCCTTCTGATGCCGATCCTGCGGAAACACGTTCTCGCGGCTCAGGATGTGGTCGATGTTCACCCATCCTCCGCCATTGCAAGGGATAGTTCTTCCCCACGTCTGGCCAATTTGGTGCCGTAGGGTCTTCACCAATGTTTTCGACGTATGGAACATGTCTTGATGGTGAGTGTTATACCCAAACGCTGTATACTCACTGTATGGCCAATAGGGAAAACTTGTGTCTCTGTTCTGCATATTCATGACTTCCAAGTGTAATCCCTTTGGTAGCGTGTTGGTCATACACGAAAATCCTTGTACACCTTCGCAAACAGCTTCATCACCGGGTTGAGGAATCACAGAGGGGTTTCGAGCACGTGGTTGTACTCCTTCATTGTTCCGTTCGGATTCGTGTGTAGATCAAGTTGACCAACATGGAGTTCTACTCCTTCTGCCAAATCGGCCATCTCCGAGAGGTTCACGACGTAGTTGTACTTGTGGAATTCCTCCCTCGGATAGAATGACGGCTCTTCCGCTTCCGGTTGATGTGGTTTGTCATGAGTTTCGCCGGGCATCGGAGCCATTTCTTCATCATCATCAGGAGCTTCCATTTCGATGTCTTCATCGGAAGAGGGATGTCCTTCTGGAAGAAACAGCATGGTGATTTTGCTGCGTGCCGAGTCAGACTCAGTTGCCCTTGCGGTGTCTTTGCATGTTCCTCAATGGGATTCTTTCCCGCACTTCATGCAAATCTGTAGTTCGCTAGCGCGATCGCAAAGGTCCTCGAACATTCGCAACAGTTCTGCTCGTCTTGAGGCGATGTCCCCGACTCTTGATTGCTTGGCTTCAGGCTCTTCAGCGTGATCGGGCTCACGGCCACGATCAGCTGCATCCTCGTTGGGCTCGCCTGCTTTCCTCTTTTGGCCTGATGAACCGGCTTCCTCGATATCGATGAACGGATTCGAGTACTCCAGTCTGATGTCCCTGACGGTTCTGCTGGGAACTTCCATGTACTTGACTGCGCCGCTTCGCTTCCTGTTGAGTCCAGTCATGTGAGAGGTCATGTTCTCCCTGACGAACTTCAGGAACGTGGCTTCCAGCATTGGTCGGTATTTGCAAACGTTCCCCCACTTTGGCAATTCCTTTCCGAAGTAGGATATGCCGTCGAAGAATCCAAGGACGGTCTCCAACCCATCTCCCAGCTTCTCTTCATTGTCGGTGGAGATGACACGATATGCCTGCTCTTGACCCATAAACAAACGCATCCACGAGGCATATACAGCGTTTCCATAGTCACGCCATACTCGGAACTTAGTCCTTCTCTCCTTCGTTCCATCGGAATGAGTGACAATGTACGATAGCTTGTCAACCCGCAGTTGCTTCCCATTGCTACTGCGGAAGTAGTCTGCGAAAGAATCCTTGCCGAGCGTGATGCCACCGATTTGTGACAGCTCCTTCGCAAACTTCTTGTTGAACAGACTCACGATGAGGTCTTGCACGAATGTTTCCATGTCCCCATCGAAAGTGCTCTGAAGCTCGTTGATGTCACCGAATACCAGGCTGCATTCGGCAAAGAATCTTTTCATGATGTTGGGGCGGTCAGCTCCCTTGTACATGGTATTTTGCGCGATCAGCCCGTTCGCGTGGCAGTTGGTGCATGTGTCCGCGAAGTACTGATGGTCGGCTGTGGATTGGGCTCCCTCTTCATGACATTGTGGGCAAAGTGATTCCACAACATCTTCGAAGTAATACCATTTCGTTCGCATGTCGCCGCCGTCCTCCTCACCGAACACTTTGTCCTCCCTTCGCTGCTCTTCATGATATTTCTTCTGCTTGTTGAAGTGAGCAGTGCAGTCCGACTTGTAGTGATAGCGGACATTTCCGCCCGTCGCGCCCTGAGGCACATTGAATTGCAGCGGGGATACACCCACACATGCATCTTCCAGGTCGGAAACCGTTTGTGCGTCCAGCGTGAGCACGTCCATGATCATCTCGACAATCAGCCTCTTCTGCAACACGTAGAAGAGCTTGGAATCTCCGGTGCAGCTATAAGTGCTGTCCGTCAATCCAGACACTTGCTTCCACATGAGATCATTGTCGGTGACAACGACGCCCGCATTCGTGCACATTTCCATCA